TTATTTAATTTAAAGTTATTCTATAAAATGGCTGCCGGTTCAAAACTAAAAAACTAAAAAAGTGCCAATTAATTTAATTGTGGGGAAAAATAAAAAAAAAAATAGTTAAGTTATTATTGTTTTGATTACGTTTTTTAATCCGCCTCCATTTTGTCTTATTATTATTATTATTATTATTATTTTACATGATTTATTATAAAAAAATTATTAATTAATTATTTATTTATTTAAATGCATAAACGTGAGGCCTTAGAAAACATTTGCTCACCTGACAAATTTTTTTTTTTTTTTATTTATTTAAAAAAAAATTAAAAATTAATAATTATTATTATTATTATTATTATTATTATTATTATTATTATTTACGTAAATCAATTAAATAAAAAATTTATTAAAACAATGATCGGACTTACTAATTATTTATTTTTTTTTTTTTTTTTAAAACGCGCCGAATTTTATTTTTACATTTATTTTAGTTATTACAAAAATTATTTCAATTCACATAACGATAAATGCATAATTTTTTTCGTTAATAAATAAATAAATAACTTAAAGTAAATAATGTCAATTTTCATTTAAAAATAATAATAATAATAATAATAATAATAATAGTAATTTAAATCACCGCGTTTTGTTTACCGTAAATATTTTATCCGATTTATTTTTTATCAGCTGTACGAAAAAGTGCCATTATTTATTATTACATAACTTATTTATTTATTTATTTTTTCATCATTTCTCTTATTTATTTATTTTACGCGTCACTCGTTTAAGTACCCGTTAATTATAAAAAATTCTATATATTTATCGATATTTAATTACGGGTAATTAATTATTTATTTATTTTACTTTTTTTTTTTGGTTAAAAAAAAATTATATTATTAAAATTATTTTTATTTTAAAATAATAATAATGTTTCAACGTCAACATGCTTGTATCCCCCTCCCCCTTTTTTTTAATTTTTTTTATTTTTAAACAAATAAAATTAATTTAAAATATTTTTATCAAAATAAATAAATAACAAATATAAAATACATTTAATAATGACATTTAATAGTCACAAATGAATTTTATAATTTCATTATTATTATTATTATTATCATCATCATCATCATCATTATTAAATTATTCATAAAAAAAATTAATTTAATAATAATTTTTTCTTTCTTTTTTTTTTTTTTTTTTTAAATAGAATGACACAATTTGACAATCCTTTTAAGTTTTTTTTCAATTCAAAACATTATTATTATTATTTTTTAAATTGTCGGACATATTGTAAAAACGGTTTTATTTAAATTTTTTACTTTTGATTAATTATTTAAAATTATTTTGCATATCACAAATTATTCCCTTTTATTCAAAAATATAAAATAAATAAGGATAAAAATAATAAAAAATAAGCTGACTTTGAGAGCTTTCTTTAATGATTATTTATTACAAGTGTAAGAAGATCACATGACTTATTGTTTATAAACTTTGTAAATTATCTTTAAAATTTAAATTCAAAAATATACAAATTATATATATATATATATATATATATATATATATATATATATATATATATATATATATATATGACACATTATATAACTTGTATTATTATTACTAGTAAAAATAAATTTATTACTATTTTATTTTGAAATTATTAATCATTTTTTCAAAAATTTTATTTAATTAATTAATTAATTCATTCATTTCTTCCTTTTATCTTTTCTTTTAAACAAAAAAAATCCTTTTGCTTTAACTTCCGGTTTTTTTTTTTTTTTTAGAAATAAAAGGTTGGTATGATACCTAAAAGTTATTTGAATATTTAAACCGTTGTTAAAAAAAAAAGGCGCGCGGAAATTTAAAAATAATAATCAAGACTGAGGGCGCTATTTTCTAGTTCCACGTATTGTTTCGCTTCTTCATACGACTTTTGATCACTTATAAATGTTTCTCAAGTCAGTATGGATAAATTTTGGCCTGTTAAAATGGAAATTGATGATGATTCAACGGCAAATTTAATTGATGAAGAGTATTTAGTTCTTAGAGCGAAAAATGCATTAAAATACGATCCATACGAAGCTAAATCGTGGTTATTAACCGCCCAAACTTTATTTCCACATAATTTTGGAGTTCAGGTATTTCAATTTCATTAAAATAATTTTTTTATTTAATTTTTAAATTAAAAAAAAATTATTTGATAATTTAAATAAATGTTTTTAACAGAGATTGATTAGTTAAATAAAAAATTTTTCATTCATCATTATTTATAAATTTTTTTTTTTTTTAGTTTGAAGCCTATTACATAGAAAAAACTGCTAGAAATGTTAAAGAAGCTGCTAAATGTTTTGCATCATTGTAAGTTAAACTATTATTCTTATCATTATTATGTATATTAATACACATAAGTGAAAATAAACTATGATTATAAATAATAATGATTTGTAGTAATAAAATAATCTAATGTTAACTAATAATAAAACTAATTCTAGAGTGCTTGTAGTTAAATTTTTTTTTTTACATAAGGTTCAGTGCATTTCCAGAAGAAGCAGATTTGTGTACGGAAATAAAAGCGATAACGACAGCATTAAGACTTTCTGAAAATGAAAACGAATTGGGCGATTCAATGCCAATGTCAGAAAATGAATTTTTACGACAACTTTTTCATCAAGTTCCAAAAAATGTGCAACATTCATTATTGCTTATGTGTGCCGAAAAACTCCAGACACATGGAACACTGTACATTGATGCTTTTACTTTTTAATAAATTTCCTCTAACTATTGTAAATTATGGAGTAAGTTTTTGAAATTTTTAAAGATAAAATTTAGAAAGATTCAATGCCTAATGAATTTATTCATTTATTACAGCCTAGACTAATGGAAAATTTAATAACGGCAGAAAAACATGGACTTCTTCAAAATAATCCAGTTAATTGTTATAGAAAGTTATTAGGTAAACTTACGACAAACAAAAACATTTATCTTTTTCTTTTTTAAGAATAACATTTAATTAGGTTTCGATTTGCTTTTAGTTTGCGATTTACTACCGCTTCTCGGTAGTGATCAATTAGAACTTCAACCGAAAAGTTTATATAGATTACTTCATAAAGCAATTGAATTTTATTTATGTTACTTATTTAATAATAAAAAAAAAGAAGATTTAGATAATTTACAAATAGAAGAACCATGGACAAAATTATGGGAAATAATGTTAAACATTGGATCTAAATTGGCATGGGATTTGAGTATAACATTCGCTAGTTACTGGTAATTCAAAATGGATTCTTTTTGTTCTACTAGCTTTTGAGTAAGTTTTTATAACACATTTGGTAATTATTTTTTAAAGGAATAAAGATAATTATTGGACTGCTTTAATGAATGCTTACCAAACAAGACCTTCAGCCAATGATGACAATGGTCAAAAACAAATAGTTTATTGTGCGACACTTATATTCGTCAGATGTTTACACGAATATTTATCTGCTGTTGAATCAGGTGAGTTATCAAAACCTATTATTCACTAAAATATAATATTATCTAAATTAACATTAAAATAATTTCGTTCAATGACTATTTTTTTTTATTCATATATTATTACTTGTTAATTTTAGGTTCTGAGAGGACTTTTGTTTTAGTCGAAGCATTTTGCATTCCTTGTTTTCCAAATGAATCACTACCCAAAAGAAGTAGAGTTGAAGAAGATTTAAATCAACCTGCTCTTACTTCATCATCAAATCTTTCTTCTAGCGTATTACATTCTTTTGTGATTGCAGTTCGATGTTGGGATTTGCTTCATCACAATGAATCTATTGAAAGAGGTAAAAAGACAAAAAAAAAAATCAATCAAATTGTATTATTGCATAATTATTATTATTAACTATTTTATTTTTTTTCTAGAATTTTCGAGACTTATGGTGCACTTAAAGCTAGAATCCTTTTTAAAAAATTTTCAACTCGATTTAACTTTATACAAGGGACAGTACGAACAATTGAGAACACTTTTAATGAACTCAAACGAATGTGATACTCAAGCTAGTTTACTCGCCAAAGATTTATTATTATTATCGAGTTATTATTTCTCGCAGAATTATTCGGTAATTATTTTTTTATTCGATTTAAAACAATATTTATATTTTATTTTTTTTACATTATAAAAATTTAATTGCAGCCAATAATAGATATAATATCGAAAGTTACCTCATCGCTTCCCGAATCGAATTCTAACAATGCCAACGATGTTAATTCCAATTCACTTTCCATAGCAACAAGACAAAGTAGGCACTTGCATTATTTACCATTGACGAGAATGAGCATTTTACAATACTGCGTCAAAATATTATTGGCAGCTTTCAAGGTACAAAGATGAAAGAAAGAAAAGGGAAAAAATATGTTTTGCTTTTTAAATTCGGAAAATTAACAGAAAAAAAAATTTATTTCAGAGCAAAAAAAACGAATTGACTCTGGGTCACATTCTCGTTTTGATACAATTGGATAATCCGATTGACGAAGAAACGTTACACGAAATAATAACGAGCATACAAAATCGTGGAGGATTTTCTTATCCATTATTCACATCGTACATTGTTAACGTTGATATATTAGAACAGTTTGCCTATTTGTCAAACGATTTGGGTACTAAAATAACATTGGATATATTGCCACCGAATCAACAGCTACACAAGTGAGTAGGGTTTAAGAATGTTATCAATGAAATAATGGTAAAATATTATTATTATTATTACTAATACAAAAAAAAAAAAAAAAATGAATTTTAGTCAAAGGAGAATGTCTACGAGAGGAGTTGATAAAGGAGTTAAGGAAGATATAAGGACGGCTATAAGGAGACAAGTAACGAGATCAAACGAAGCCGTGGATAATTTAATTATCAAGTTTTTATGCAGAGAAAGAGAATTGATTTATCACAGTTTGGTCGATTCCTAAATGAAAAAAGGTGGAAAAAAAACAATTGCGCAATGATTATTTACGTGAATTATGTAAGTACATTTATAAAAATAATATTTAATACTTATTTTATGTTTTTTTTCTTCTTCTTTCTCTATCTCTCTCTCTCTTTCTCTTCTTTTCAATATGTTAAAGATTTTAAAAAATTGGTTTAAATTCAATCGGTAAAATATGTAAAAGGTAAGTAATGAATTAAAAGTTTTAAAGATAAATGTTGTGGGTAAAATACTTTGGTGTCCGCCATTAAAAAAATTAACGTAAAAATGTCCAACGAAATATTTCGAGAGAGTATTTTCAATTATTAAATTGAGATATGTTTTAAAAAAAAATAAAAAACAAATTTAGTCGTGTCGCAAGTAAAAGTTTACCGAAGAACAAGTTATCCGTGGTTAAATTACTTTATATTAAACATCGATTTCACTCTCAACGGTCAAAACCTGATTAACACCTTAGGGCTATGTATTATTATTGACCTGATTTAACGAGTTTTTCTTTTCGTTTCTTTTTTTTTTTTTCACTTTTTTCACTTTTTATTTATTATTTAAGAAAAACTTTTTTTTTTTTTTTTTTTTTTTTTTTTTTTTTTTTCCTATTCCAACCCCAATCCCCCCCCCGGTTTTTTTTTTTTCGTCAAAATTAAATGAAACAAAACGAAACGAAACGAAACGAACATTTGAAAAATTTTGAAAATGCGTTCTAAAACGTAAATACAAATTGATTGGGGGATTAAAGTTAATTCTGATTGGTCAATTTCGGTCATTACGTACTTCCGGTTTTTATTTTGTTTTTGATTTGATTTGACGTTTTTTTTATTTTATGGAATCGAATTGAGAATTTTTAGTAACGGAAAATAAATCAAACGATGGAATCTTAAAAATATTCATAAATCCAAATAGTAATAATAATAATAATTTGTTTTTTTTTTTAAATAATAGTAATAATAATGATAACGATAAAATTACATTAAAAGAGAAAAACGTAGGGAAAAAAACGTGTGCGTATGCGTTTAGGTTAAATAAAAAGAAAGTAAGTGAAATCAAAATTAAAAAAAAAAAAAAAAAAAAAAAAAGTGTGTGCGTAGTAGTAAACCTGTTGCGAAAATTTTTTTTTTTTATCAAACGTTTTCTTTTCCAACTTTTTTTATTATTTTTATCAATCGAATAATAATAATAATAATAATAATAATAATAATAATAATAATAATAATAATAATAATAATAATAATAATAATAATAATAATAATAATAATAATAATAAAATTTTTCGTTTCTTTTAATTATGGTTAGTAAAGGGCAAAGATTCCCATCGACCCTTTGATAATAATAATAATAATAATTAATTAATTAATTAAAAGGCTTTATGTATGTATATACACATATGTAAACGCATATATATTTTTGTTTTTGAATCGAAATCACATTACACCAAAATTAAATTATAAATTAATACATAAAATGATAATAATAATAATGATGATGATAATAATAATATACAAAAAAAATATTTATATATATTTATACGCATAATCTGATATAATAATAATAATAATAATAATAAAATTTTATGTTCAATCGTTAGATACAAATTATAATTAAAATACATTTATACAATGATAATAATAATAATATTGAATTAATTTGTTCGTATAGAGTAGTTTAAATGATAAAATTTTTAATTTTAATCTTTTAATTTTCTGATGTTGGTAATACTTTTCTTTTCCCTCCCTTATTAAAAAAAAAAAAAGAAAATTTTATATTCCTGATCGTACGTACAAAAATCCTCTTTCTCTCTCTCTCTCTCTTTCTCTTAAATTATTTTAAATAATAATAATAATAATATACTTTGGCATTATCCTTTTTTTTTAATATAAAACCCACAAGAATTTTTTTTTTTTTTATAAATAATAATAATAATAATAAAATAAAAATTTTTAAAAAAAAAAAAAAAAAAAAAGGTTGTCGTACGTCAGTCGAATAGAATAAAGTGATTACGAAAGGTTTCACAAATCAATCCATAAAGTAATATTAATAATATTAATAATATTAATAATAATAATAATAATAGTAATTTTTTTTGTATTTACACAATAATTAATTTTTATTGAGCAATTTTTTTTTTTAATAATTTTTTTTATTTATTGATTTATTGATTTATTTATTTATTAAAAAAATAAATGATTTACATATATAATTTTTAAATTAAATTAAATTTCGTGAGAGAGAGAGAGAGAGAGAGACAGAGAAAAAAGTAATCTAATAAAAAAAAATGATAATAATAATTATAATGATGACGATGACGATACGATAATAATAATAATAATAATATAAAATAAATAAATTCATCGTCGAAAATAATTTTTTTTTTTTTTTATTCACCAGGCGTGGTTTCTCTCTCTCTCTCTCTCTTTTTCTCTCTCTCTTTTTCTCTCATTTTCTCTCCACCCAAAAAAAAAATTCAAAATAAAAATTCTTATGATTTTAAATAATCATCATCATTATTATTTCCATTAAAAAAAAACGTGAATCCGAATGAAAGGATGCTGCATCTCACGTTTTCTTTTTTTCATTCATATATTTTTTAACGACACGATAGCGTTTCACGGCTACGTTTATCTCATTAATCCGCAGCATCTCATCACAAACGATAATAATGATAATAATAATAATTTAATTAGTTTTTATAATAAAAAAAAAAAAAAAAAAAAACGAAAAATTAGGATCGAGCTAGTAATAATAATAATAATTATAAACATGTTAATTTTTATTTATTCAATCAATGATTCATTTTTTTTTTTTTTTTTTTAGTTTCTCTCTCTGTCTCTTTCTTTCTCTCTTTCTTTTTACTTTTCTCTTTCTTTCTCACACTTTTTCCTCGTCTTTTCGATTCACTTTCCCCCCCCCCTACATATATATTAGCTAACGAATTTGTTAATGAAATTAATTTTCTTTTTTTTAAATTTCATTTTAATTTTTTAATATAAACGTTTATAATAGGTATGCACGTGCGCTCACGTGCTTTTCCCACGTGTATATGTAAGTGGAGTTTAAAAAAGTTTATTGTATTTTTTATATGACGAATTATCATTATTATTATTACTACTATAATTAAAATGTTTTTCCAACTCCTTCCTTTTTTATTATTATAAAAAAATAATTTACTCGATTATACTAATAATAATAATAATAATAATAATAATAATAATAATAATAGTAATAATAATAATAATAATAATAATAATAGTAATAATAATAATAATAATAGTGACAACTTTTTTTATTACGTGTGTGATAATGTATGTACGTAATCATTATCGTGACGTCGATGATACGATGATGATGATGATGATGATGTTTACATGTATGTATGTATGCATATGAGTTTTGAGTTATTAATACTAAATAATAATAATAATAATAATAATAACGTACTGCGAATAATAATCGTGTTTATCTGTGTTTGTGTTTGTTCGCGTGTTTAGTTTTCTAATTTAAACGTAATAGATGGTTATTTCATTCTGTTCAAAACGAAATCGCTCACGACTATAAGACCTTTTTGATAAGGGGATTCAACGATAGTGTTAGCTAATCTAACGGCTTCCATGCAATGTTTCTTTGCTAAAAATCTCGTTTGTTCCAACCCCTGGGATTTGTGAACTAATTCGAATGCTTTATCCACATCTCCGGGCTCTTGAAATCTTCTCATTATCATGGCGTTCAATTCCGGATACTGAAACGGATTTAAAACAAGTTTAAAAAAAAAATAAATATGAATATTTATCGTAAAAAAAAAAAAAAAAAAAAAAAATATGCAAACTTTTTCGCATGCGAATAAAACGGGAGCCGTCGCGAGTCCCAATTTTAAATCCGCCGCCGTGGGTTTTCCCATAGCGTCTGCAGACGACACGAAATCCAAAAGGTCATCGACTAATTGAAATGCGAGACCGATATTTCTTCCGTATTGGAATGCAACTTCCGACAATGATTCATCTGCTCCCGCCAACATGGCCACCTATAAATAAAAAAATAAAAAAAATTTTTTTTTTCTTTTTTTTTTTTTTTTGGTAATTAATTAAATACCTCGAACGTATTTTTTTTTTTTTTTTATGACGTGTCGTCCATTTTTTTTTTTTTTTTTACGCCGTCGTCAAAAACTAACCGTATACAATCACGGATCCCTCACGCGTAAAACACGTGTACACGTGTACATTCGTGTTGCTTTCAAAACACGGTCGTGCGCGCTGGTCGTATATACGTACGAAAACTTTCTCTATCCCTCCCTTCCTTCTTCTTCTTCTACTTTTAAATATTTATTTATTATAAATGCGTAAAAAAAAAATGACCGTGTGGGGAAAAAATTTTTTTTTTTTTTTCTTTCAAATTGTGTGTTGGCAATACGCGAGCGATTTCACCTTCGATATTTTATCATTATTATTATTATTATTATTATTAATTTCCAGGTTTTTATTCCGATTCCTATTAAATGAGATCCTCTCCACGAATTTTAGTGATTCGTTTTTTTTTTATTGATTTAATTTCTAACGTGAAAACGTCCTTCGAATAAATTTCTCATTTTCTCACGTTCGATTTTGATCTATAAAAATTTTGATTGGAAAAAAATTTCCCCCTCTCCCCATTTTATTTCGTCATTTAACAATAATGATAATAATAAACACCTGTTATTGTAATTTCTGTGTGATTCGAATGACTTCGCGTGAGAAATGTGATTGATTGTTAAAAAAATGTTAATACGTGACGTAAAGGACAGGTAGAGAAAAAAAAGAGAGAAAGAGGGAATATGGGAAAAATGGGAGGAGAATTTGGGAAGGACGTAAAATTAACCGTTTTAAACATAATTTGGAAAATTGCAACATTTTTCCAAAGAAAAGTCTGACATTATTTTCTTCTGATCTCTCTTTCTCTTTCTCTCTCTCTTTCTCTCTCTACCTCTCTCTTTTTAATTTTTTTGATCTTTGTAGTTTTACAGTATTTTTCCCACGACGTTTTATATTTAATTTCTTTTTTTATCAATTTTACACTAAAAAAAATTTATTTATTTATTTATTTATTACGGTGAAAGCGGTTCGTTCGGATTGAATGGCGACCTTGCTTCCATTATTTTAAGATGAGAGAGAGAGAGAGAGAAAACATCTTCCCGACGATACGAATTAATTAAAACCTTGAACTTTTTATTAAAGTAATTACACGAGTTTTTAAAAAAAAAAAATTAAATTTATTATTATTATTAAAATAATTAGGGAGTCGAACGACGGTTGCCTGATGTGAGTATGCCTGATGATCTTAGACACGTTTTTTATTTAAAAAAAAAAAAAAATCAATATGGCGTAAATATATTAATTTTTTTTTTTTGAGGAAAATGTAAAATTTTATTTTGCTCAAAAAACGGGATTAATAAATAAAAATGAATAAGAGAGAGAGAGAGAGGAAGAAAGATTCGTCGTATGATATGACGAGAGGGAATGAGAGGGAAAAAGGTTTTCGTAGAGCTAGAGAAAGAGAGAGAAAGGTTTGTCGTTAGGCGAGATAGAGAGTAAGGTTTGTTGTATGGCGAAAAAGAAAGGTTCGTTGTATGGCGAAAGAGAAAGGTTCGACGTATGGCGAGAGAAAGAGAGAGAAAGGTTTGTCGTATGACGAGTGAGAGAGTAAGAGGTTCGTTGTATGGCGAAAGAGAAAGGTTTGTCGTATGAAGAGAGGGAAAGGTTCGTCGTATGGCGAGAGAAAGAGAGAGAGAAAGGTTTGTCGTAAGACGTGGTAGAAAGTAAGGTTCATTGAATGGCGAAAGAGAAAAGTTTGTTGTATGGCAAGAGGGAAAGAAAAGGAAAAAGGTTTTCGTAGAGCGAGAGAAAGAGACGGAGAGAGAGAAAGGTTTGTCGTAAGGTTTTTCGATAGAATCAATTTCGTTAAAAAAAAAAAAATAAATTTTCTGCTTACTGCTTTTGCACTGTTGGCTATCAAACTCGCTGTTTTCCTGTAGGTTTTCGTTAAATAATGTGCAAATCTTTCATTTTCCGTTTCTTTCGATCCGAGTTGCATGAATTCTCCCTGAACCAAATCCGTGACGACCTACCAAAAAAAAAAATGATGATAATAATAATGATAATAATAATAATAATAGACTTGACATAAGAAAAAAAGAAAAGAATCGTTCTATAAGGAAAAAAGTTTTTTTTTTTTTTTTTTCAAGCTACCAAAGTTGAACAATTAAATAAAACCTGAATGGTCAGTTTAAAATTTTAAAAAATCAATAAAAAAAATATTTAAAAAAATAACGATAATAATAATAATAATAATAATAATAATAATAATAATAATAATAATAATAATAATAATAATAATAATAATGATAATTTACA